GCGACTCGGTGACAGCGAATCATTCGGCGATAGAGTCAGCGCAAACTAATCACCCGACGGTCGTGCACCTGCGTTTGGTGTCGCGGCTGTGGAGTTACCGAGGCACATGGCTTCCCCACACGAATGACATGCGCTTCAGCCGGCGCGACGGCCGTAACGTCGCGCGTCCGAGTGTCAGATATCTGCTCGGCTCAAGGCTCCTGTGCAGTTCCCTCTCATACAACAAACTCTAAATCTTTTCTTCGGGCCATCTACAATCAGGATGCCTTTCAACACGGAGCTGACGAGGGCGCTCGGCATTAGAGGTAACTTCACCAGCACAGCAAACGAGACGGTAGCTGACAGATGTAGTGCCCGTCGTTCAAGGTGGTATGCAATGGGTCGGATACGCCGAACTCGCTTCCGCTGTTAGCAACGCAGGAGGTCTGGGAATAGTATGTCGGGCGCCCATCACGCATCAAACATATTCTCACGATGGCATAGTTGACCGCCCTTACCCAACCCACCCCCGAAGACCTTCGCAAAGAAATTCGCCGATGCCGAACGATGACCAACAAGCCTTTCGGCGTCAACCTGACGCTCCTCCCCGCCATGGTCCCCCCGGACTATGCCGCATACGCCCGCGTCATCATCGAGGAGAAAGTCAACATTGTCGAGACAGCGGGAAACAGCCCAGGGCCGGTGATTAAGCAGCTGAAGGAGGTTGGCACCATCATCCTGCACAAGTGCACTACTATCAGGCACGCACAGTCTGCGGTGAAGCTTGGCGTTGACTTCCTGTCCATTGATGGCTTCGAGTGCGCCGGACACGTTGGCGAGACGGACATTACCAACTTCATTCTGCTCAGCAGAGCTAGGCAATCATTAGGTGGTGTGCCTTTTATCGCCTCTGGAGGTTTCGCCGACGGCCAAGGTCTGGCCGCTGCGCTTTCTCTCGGAGCCTGTGGTATCAACATGGGAACGCGCTTCATGTGCACCATCGAAGCGCCCATCCACCACAACATCAAGCAAGCCATTGTCGACGCGCAAGAGACAGACACCGCACTCGTGCTCCGCCGATGGAAGAACACATCGCGACTCTTCGCCAACAAGGTTGCGCTGCAGGCTGTTGAGGTCGAGAAGACAAGCCCAACTGGCAAGTTCGAGGAAGTCGCTGAGTTCGTCAGCGGAAAGCGAGGTCGGCAAGTCTTCTTGAACGGAGACCCAGACTTCGGTGTAAGTTTACATGTCCCTTTTCGAGTGCGGTTGACTGACAAACCTAGGTATGGACTGCTGGCCAAGTAATTGGCCTCATCCACGACATCCCCACCAATCGAGAGCTCCTTGACCGCATCGAGCGCGAAGCCGTCGAGACCATGAAGCAGTCGCAATCGCTGTTCGTCGAGGAGGGCGAGAAGCCTGTCGCTGACGGCGCGTCCATAAACAAGAAGTCGAATAACCCTCAGGCTGAGGTCTGGGGTATTGGCAAGAGCAAGCTATGAATATGGATAATTTGTGTAGCATTACTCGGTTGGCACAGGGAGCGTTCTGCATGGAATAGCATTTTGATACCATGAGATCTGTTCAATTGATTGTGAGATCGTGAAGAAATGGGAACGCTTCTCAATCGAGAGGGTTGCTTCGTCAAAGGCATAAGCAAACGCGCATCTCTCGCGTTCAAGCGGACGACCACTTCGCCACTGCAGATACCCACGTCTCCATCTTGAGTCACTATGACGTCGAACCTGCACCATCGACTCCAGCTTACGCCATCCTACAAAACTACTTCACGGCCGTGTGTCAAAGCATTGATCAGAGACAGATTGCTCACCACACGAAAAGCTAAATAACGAGACCTCTCACACTTAGTTCCACCGAAGCATACACGCCATGTCTTCCCTGACAGGCCAAGAATCTTCAAACACCCAACCCAAGCACCCCGTCAACCCCGGCGAAGACACAGCCGGCACATTCAAGGGCGACCCGAGCGTTCCATTCAAGACCGGCCAGTCGACTGACCCTGTTGGTTTGAGCGCGTCCGTGGACAAGGTAAGCTCCTCGCCTGACATACCACCTGATACCTACCATGCATCATAATAGAAAGGTTGTATCACCCAGGAAGATACTTACAGTTATAGGCTGCACCCAGCCAACAAAACGCCTCAGACACTTCGGAGCAGCGCCGCGGAGAAGACATAACACAAAACACCAAGCAAGAGTACGAGGGAAGTAGCAGTGTCGGTACCAAAACCGGAAGCGAGAGTTTGATCGACAGTGTAGAGAGGAGCATGCATGAGGGTGGTGAGTCGGATCGGAGTGGAGTGGATATTGGACAGATTACTGGCGGACGATAGGTTGAAGGACTTGGTGGTACAGTAACAGCATCACAAAACGCTTCGATTAAATCAGAATCTATTATCATGACTTTGGCTTTGAATTTGACTACGCTGGAAATCACCCTAATTTAGGGGCATAGGCCTCCGCCTCAGGATGGAGGTATACCTTGCGGACCCACATTAGCCTCAAAGATAGGCCTAAAGAGACTACATCTGTAATCAAGATCAGACTGCGGCAGCACAGTAACACCACTTCCCCTCACACCTCCAACATCGCCGAGAACACCCAAATTCCAATCTCCTTCTACGGCAGTAGCATTCTGGTCCTGATACACTCCACCTGCCACAAAGTCATAGGCACCAACCAAGACATTACCCTCAGCACCCGTACCAACAGCATTCCATCCAGGTCCAGCATAAGGGTTCTTCGCGAACTTGGCCCATGTACTCTGCATAAAATGTGCCAAGGCGTACTCTTGCGTCGTCGTATTAGCAAGGGGGTATGTGCGGAACACGAGAGGGATTTCAGAAGCGTGGTATGCTCCGAGCTGGGGATAAGCTTGTGTATTGGCGAAAGAGGCGTTGAAGTAGTAACGCCAGGTGGGGATACCGATGGATGCTGTTGCATTGGCCCATAGTGCTTGCGGACACTGAAATGTGACCTCAGTGACAATCTGTGAAATGACGTCGTAGCCGTTGGTCAGACCGTTGCTACCAATTGGGTATGCAGCTTCGATCGCGGGAATGAGTGCTGGTGCGGCGCCGAAGGTCGCTTGCAGGTAGGCAGTGATGTTTGTTTGGCCGACTGAGAAGACGCGGCCTTCTTGGGAGTTTGTACCTCCTAGTACTGGTATATGCGCGATATCGCCGCTTAGGCGTTGTGCCGCCGGGTTCGATACCAAAGTGGTGTTATCAGCGACTGGATTGAACACGAGTGAGTTCTGGTTGATGATGTTCTGTACAGTCGATGCATTTGCCGCTCTTACGCAAGTCAAGTTGCTCTCATGTGTTCCTGGACACCCGAGCGCCGCTGTAAGGTTGTTCCAAGCGGGTATGCTTGATGTTGCAGGAGCTGCGCGATAGCTGTACTGCCCACTTTGTAGGATGGCGGCCCGAAATGGTGGTGAGCTGTCCTTGGGGAAGCTGGTCAAGAGCGCATCGATTGAGAAAGCACCCGCGCTCTCGCCGAAGATGGTGACTTTAGACGCATCGCCGCCGAAAGCGTGGATGTTTTGCTGTACCCACTCGAGGGCAAAGCGCTGGTCAAGGAAGCCAAGATTGCGTTCCGCTAATGGTAGCTCTGGTGAAGCAGGGAAGCCGAATACTGCGAGCCGTTAGGTGTGAAACATGTGATTTGGAGTGTCGATAGTCACATACCGTTCGTTCTGTAGTTCGTCGTCACAACAATGACATCTTCGTATGCTGCGAAACTGCTTCCGTCATATTGCTCTTGACCAGCGTTACCGAACTGTAGTGAGCCACCGTAGATCCAGAACATTACAGCCCTGCCATTGCCGCCCGCGGGAGTCGATGGTGCATAGACATTGAGGTATAAGCAATCCTCCGACTCTTCAGGTGGCGGGTTATTGAAGACAGCCTGCGTGAACTGTGAACTTGACAACGGGTCTACCCCAATTAGCATATATCAGATCGCTTGCATGGTTCGCGTACATCGAAATTGTTGGATACATGCTGGCTTGAACTCAGTGGCATTGACTTGCCGTCGGAAAGGTTCTGCAGCTCGCGGTGGAGAGAATCTCTCGGGTGGTGATGCAAAGGGCACACCTAGAAACTGATGCACTGGTCCAAGTGCATGGGGAAGTGAGGTGGTCTTCCCAACTATGACACCCGCGTCGACTGTTGCGGTTGGTACATCGTGTCCGGACGCATAGTCTGCGCAGGTTGTCGTCACGCTGCTGGTCAAGAGCAGAAGACCAACGGAGCCCAATGTAGAAGACGAGAACATGTCGGCGGCACTGTGGTACTACTACCCGTGCACTGGCGTCAAGCAGTATCTTGATCTCTTTATACAAGCCTCGTTCTTTTCATTGACGCGAAACCGAGGTCAACACTTTCGTCGCAAGCCACGTCCAGCTTGGCGTGCATCGCGCTGTAAGGTTTCTATCCAAACAAAATCACTTCTTAGTGCGCGAAGCCGAGGCTTAGGAGCCATCTCCGCAACTAAAAAGCATAAGAGCGTCATGGCCATCCCGTGTATGCGGTTGCTATTGAGTAAATACTGCAGCTGGCGCTAAAGACGCGTGCATTTCGCTTGTTGTCGTTCAACGGCTGCATATAGCGACCTGCTGGGGAAGATCAGAAGGTCAAACATTGAACTCATCAGAAAAAATCACAAGAAGAAGCAAACCGTGGGAGAAAAGAGATGTGAAGATCGTGATGAAGGCGCGGGACGCGCAGGTCATTGCGGGGTGCGTCTCGCTTCCGGCCACCCCCGGCTCCCAGTCCCAGCCACTAAGCCTCGCGACTGCCTGCCCATCCATCATCGCTACCGGGAACGCCTATCTTCCATGCATACTAGGCCTCTACGTCGATAACAATCTCAACCACCATCAGGAACTGCTCAGTTTTGATCCGATTCGGCAAGATTGTCATTACTACGAACTACCGCCCCTAGACGCCTGCGCCTACCCAAAGGATCGTCCGCCGCGCTCTTGCCATCGTTCCTCACAACTTCTCGATGGGTCTCTCATTCGCACTCGCGTCACGAAGGTAGAAGAGCAAGTTGGGGGCTCTGTTGGGGTCTGGCGGCTCGCCGCTGTAGAATATCCTTATCCCAGCAATTACCTTACGTCCAAGTTGGTCTCGATGCTGAGCAAGTAACCAAGCTACACCTGCACCGTGGGCTGTGCCCAGCAGAGCGATAGCATGGTCACTGGTCATGTCTAGGTATAGTCCCGACCGCGTACAAGCCTGTGACTGGCGAGGTGGTGCGTCGAGAATATTACTAATGATAGCTAAAGTATCTTCGTTCGAGATGTTTTCTCTCATGATGAACTTGAGATCACGTACTTCTTCCTGGTCGAGTTGAGAATGGACCCATTGGTGGAAAGCTATATCGGACCAGTGCTTCAACGAGGGTAACAGAGCGGCCGCCAGCGATTTCAACTCCTTGGCCTTGTATGTCGGGCTGTAGCTGTAGTTCGCTACGAGAATTCCAGCTTCGAAGTTGATTTCGGACATGAACCTCACTTCGCTTGCGGCTACAATTGTTTCGCCAGTGATGACGTCTTTTGTGTAATCGTCTGTAACATTGATGAAGTGAGAGTTAGAACCTTGAATATCGAGACTGTCCAGCTTTTTTGACAGGCCAGAGACAGATCGAGGCCTTGTTGTTCTCTTGTATCCCATTGCTCCTACTTCCCCGGGCGTGAAGTATGGGCTTTGCGTGACAGCAGATCCGCTATGCATTATTTTGAGCATCTTCTTGCCTTTCTCCACGGCAGTGTTGTAGTGCAGATTACTGATTTGTGAATTCATCGTCGTGGGCATGGCTTACTGTAAAATGTTATGGGGAAAGAGAGGAAGCGAGTGTTCTTCATATATGAGGCTGGTGAAACAATGTCTTCTACCTTCCACGAATCTCCAGTGGATCAAGCACGGGCTAGTTTCATGAGTGTTCTACTGTCTGCCATCTCATTGTCCGCGTGGCCTGACACATTGCTAGAGCAACGCTCATTCTGCCCTCATAGCGACTTCCTTTAATCACCTTCCTCGCTGCCTGGCTTCGTGATGACGACGTCGCGAAGGTGGAACACCAAACTTGGAACTATCGTCTTGCTATTATGCCAGATTTCTCGACAGTCCACCGTTATCTTGTAAACTGTCTTGTGGCCCAATTGCTGCTTATGCTGTATGAGCAACCAAGCGACTCCGGCTCCATTCGGTGTCCCTAGAAAAGCGGCTACTTCATCCCGGTCGTCAACGTCGAATGAGTATGAGCCTGAAGCTTTCGGATGGGCTTTTTGTTTGATATGCTGGATGACTGCTTTTGTCTTTTCGTTTGTGATGCTCATTCGCATCACATAACGTAGGACGGATGAGTCCGTGTTACGGCAGGCCCATTGCAGGTATGCGACATCTGACCAGTACTTGAGACTAGGGACGTCATCGCCAACGTTGTTCTTCTCCATAGACTTGTGACCGGCTTGCTTAAGTTGAACGTTTTCGGCATCCGCTTCCGCTCTTCTCCAATCTTCCATGGGACTGTACGTGTTCATGGCTGCAATCATACCACCGGAAGTGTTGATTACCGAGTCGAAGCGTATCTTCATCTCAAGTTCTTCTTGTAGCGATCCTTCTATCGATTCAAGGCCGCAGTGATGATGAGAAACAGGAATATTGCGTGAAGTGTCGATTCCAAGGTCCTCTAAAAGTCGCGCCAGAATTTTGGAATCGTCCCCGGAGGACCGCTCAACCCAATTGTTCTCCGAGAGTTCTTTGTAGTTGAGGTATTCGCTTTCAGCTGGCGTATTTGAGTATTTGAGTAAATTACCAAGCTCATCAAAGCTAGCTTCCAGCATCTGTAACATCAATTCACCTTTCTTGCAAGCCGCCTCGTAACGCGTTGCCGGACTGACTGAGGTTGTCATTGGAGAGGGCGCTAGTTATAGAAGTGTCGCATGCGGGTCGTGGTAGTGCTAAGTATGTTGCCATTCAGATGCATTTATGAGTTCCTTAAGTGTGAGACGTTGAGCATCACGCGCATCGTCAACATACGGTATGACGCGAAGCAGCTGACATGTAGCCTAATCTGTTCCACCCTTTGTCTAGCCCCCTCCATGTAAAGTGAATGCACATACAATACTCCCACCTGACCCCCACTCTACACAATCCAAAACAGCAAAGTCGGCCATCTAAACAAATCATCCTTCTTCGCCGCATGAAACAAAGTGACTTTCTCAATATGCTTCTCTCCAAACGCTTTCTTATGTTGAACAAGCATCCACGCAACACCGGCTCCATTCGGCGTCCCTAAGATCGCCTTCCCTTCTTCAGTGTCCATCCCGAACGTGATACCAGGCCACATCTCATATGTAAACGTGACGTGCTTGCTAATAATCCTATTAAGCACCAGAGAAGTCTCGGCGTTCTGAATCTGGACGCGGAAGACGTAGTTGAGCGGAATCGGCCGTACAAGTGGTTCGGGGAAAGAAGAAAGGTGTTGTAGAAACGCCACGTCTGACCAGTGTCGCAGTAACGGTAGTTCTGTAGCTTCATCATCTCCTCCGTCATCGAATTTGGCTGCATGCGCGGGACTAAGATTACTGTCTGCGATCAAGACACCAGAGTGTGGGTTGCTGACTTGAGAAAAGTAGCCATGTGTTGTCTAATAGCTCGTTAGAACATGCTTACTTCAAAGCTACCGCGAAACGTACTGTATCGTCTTCTGTCGCTTCTGCTCCGTCGCGGTCATGCACATGGTGTGTTCTGATGTTCTCTCCGCCATCATACACCATTTTGTCGCTGACACCCAGATCGTAGAGCGCGTCGGCAATACAGTCGATTTCAAAGAATTTGTCTTGAGGCTTTAGAAGATAGCCATGTTGGGCTAGTTCTTGTACCTCCTCATATGCGCTTTGAACTTGTGTCTTATCCTTCGCGGCCAGGATCTGGAGCAGCCTAGTACCCTTCACGACGGCGGCCTCGTAGTCTTGATCTATCGTCAATTTTGTCATCGTAGGGACCTATTTGTGGATGAAGGAAGGGAATGTCCCAAGAGAAAGGTGAGAGAAGAGAATAGGGTTATGGAATCACTCCCCCACTTGAGAGTCAAATAACAGTGTTTGCTCGACCGAGCTTTACTTCACTCACAGTGTCACACGAGCGCAGATCATTCGTTACTCCGCAGCTCCTGACCGCACTGCCACCTTGTTGCGCCTACAGCATACCTCCGCCCCATGTTTGGCTATCCCGTGTCACTTGTCCTCACCCACTTTGCCCTGCTCGCCATCTTCCTTCGCACCTTTAACACCGTCAGGCCCAGTACTCCATCCAAGCACAACACAAGGACGCGGAAAACTAACCGAACATACTGCCCCCACCACCGCCCATCCTCCCTCCCCTCTGCGCCTCCCTAACCAACCACTCCCTCAAAAAGTCCTTATTCCGCATCTCTTCGGGCCGCGTCAACCTCGTATCAAATTGCGCCTCCTGTCTTGAAAACGCCAATAGCGTCGGCATACTACTGATGCGGTATTTTATAGGCAAATCCTCAATCAACGTGCTGTCCATCAACACTTCCACAAAGCCCAGTCCGCCTTCCCGCTCCCCGATCTTTTCTTCTTCGATGAGTTGGCGGATGAGCGGCTTGATGGCTTGGCAAGTTTGACACCAGGTCGCAGTCCAGAAGGTTATTAGAGATCGGTTGTCGGATGCGTTGAGGAGTGTGAGTGTATGGAGGTCGTTGGGTTGGCGGATGGGGTCGAAGATGCGGTTGGTGTGCGAGCGCGACGAGGGGTTTAGGAGAGAGAAGGCGCGTTTGGAGGGGCTTGGGAAGGCATTGAGGCGGATGGTGGAGAGAAGGGTTGGTCGTAGCATTTTGGCGGTTTGTGGGGTTGTGTTGGGGGTCGTAGATGGGATGGTGGAGGTTTGGGGTTCGCGGATCGCGACGCGTGAAGGTTTTGGGGCTACGTCATCGGTTGCCGGGAGCTTGGGTCCACATCTCATCGCGTCTTCACGTTTGTTCACGCCCTTACATCTCCACAGCTGTGTTACGTATCATCCATTCATCTCTCATTTGCGAATACATGTTGTACATTCTCCTAGCGTCTAGGCACCTTCTTGCTCAATCATGATACGATCGATCGGATCCAAATACACGCAGCCATAATGCCAGCTATCTCGAATACGTTATACATCTACTACAAATCACAGCGACAAAAGAAACATTCGGGCTGTAATACTGGGCTCGTGTTAGTACGCGTCGAGAAAAGAGAGGCCGTTCGACAGCCTTTGTCTCTTGCTTCGACGCGGCGCGTCGGCCGCAGTAACATGTCTTCCATCCCGCCCAGCGGCTACATCATCCCACAGAGCGAGACCGTCGCTACCATCGTCGCGCAGTTTTCTTTTAGCATTCCTCCGATTTTCAGGGAAGTCTGATTTCATATCCTCGAACTCTCGCGCTAACCCTTCCTCTTCTTCTTCCTCTTGGATAGGAACAAAGTTGGTATCGTGGTCATAAGGTGTGTCTGTCGGCGGTAATGTACCAAGAGCAGTGTCTACAAGTGCATATTCTCTGATCCTCACATCCAGCGCACTCTCATTGGTTTGAGCACAAGTGAACTTGAACCGGCGAGACTCTGGTACGTCGTCTGCACTCGTCTCTATCGTAAGCCTTTTGCTGATAAGGAATTCGGCAAGCGTACGCCAGTCTAGTAAGCCAGCGGTGGCCATTTGAGCGAGTCTGTAGATCAGATTATATCCGTTCTCTTTGTAAATTGCGTCTCCTTTGGGATGAAGGCCCAAGGCGATTATCCAAGCGTTGATCACCGTGTGATGTCCGCATTGCCAGCCGCCGTTTTGCTGCTGAGGCACTTGTATATCAGAAGGAATCTCCCTGGGTGGAACAACATCCCAAACACGGCGATGGTCTGACCACTTGAGGCGTTTATGAGCCTTGCTGATACGCTCCAAAAAGAATCCTTGCACGTCTTTGAAGATTCTCTGACAGCTGTCGATGAATACTATCTCGAAATGCGTTTCGCCTGGATAATCGTCGGTCTCGTCGTTGAACGATTCTTGGATCAAGACGAGGAGCGTATGGCCTTCAGCTTGGCTGTTAGTAGGGGGCTTCCATTTCATACCCTTTCCCTTCGCCCAGTTCTTCAACTCATCCAACAGGCCACCGCTACTGACTACCAAAGGCATCAACCAAGCCCTTCGAGGGCGCGAAAGCACCAGATTGTCGAAGGAATTCTTGTCGGAATCATTGGAACAGAGGGCGAATGCCAGACTGGCGGACGTTGCCAACGTAAAGCCTCCAGCGAAGAGGCTCGAAGAGTTTGTACGCCCATGGGCATCAGATTGGAGATTATCGATGGCCTCCAGAACCGACACGATGGCCAAATTCACTTCAGAATCGTGTAGGGGTTGTTTCCAGTCATGCTTGGCCGACTTTGTAACCCCAACGCCGATATCCCCGAAACATTGCCGTACGTCATGTTTTTGCATGAGGAGGACATAAGTCTGATAGACATCTCTTACCCTTGCTGCAAATGTGTCCTTATAATGTTTTCCCACCTCAGCAAAGTGGTTTTCGAGGTGAACTCGTAAACTTTGTATCAATGTATCTCGTGTCATTTCGGCGATAGACCCTGGGACGGAGTTGAGAAATCTTTCGCAGGCTATCCCCCACGAGCCATCATGAGCTTCTTCCAATTGGGAGCTGTCATGGTTGACATTCAGGATGCCCAGCTGCTGAAGGCGAGGTACAAACTTCGATTTGCTTGAACCCGTCCATTCGTCGGAAGGGAAGCCGCCAGCCTGGCTGTGTGATGAACCATTGAGGCCTGGAACGCGATTACAGCGTCGCATTCTCGCATTTTCTTCAGGCGTGGGCTGCTGCCGCTCTTGCCAGTATATCAGCTCTATAGCACCAAGACTTCCCAAATCTTCTACCATTCTGTCTTCGTTTTGTATGGCATGAGTTTGGGTAAAACGCCTGTTCTCGGGTACAGAGCCATTCCGTACGATATCATGGCATCGTAGAAGAGCAAAAATGAGTTTCCAGTCTGCGTGACCCAAACGCGCAAGACTGATAACATCATACAACTCATCGAAGAACGGTTTTGTCCATTTAAGTCGCACCGCAGGATTGAGCTCCAAGCCTAGCGCCAATCCCCAGGCGTTGAGCATTACGAAATAGCCACATTCATTCGTACTCGGTTGAAGAGCGGTTTTGACCCAAGTTGCATGAGAAGGCTTGGCGTTCTTGAAAGTAGCTTCATCTGGGAAATGTCGCCTGTACCAAGCCGTACGACATACTACCCTCCAGGCTATCTCGAAGATGTGGTTACGTTGAAAAGCGTTGTAATGGTAGAACAACGAGTCGAGAACCGATATTTCGGGTAAGCCCTTTTCGTTCAGCTGCACAATTACCAGGACGAAATGACTTTCTGAGTACAATGGCATGAGTAGAGGACGGCCGGGTCGAAGTGCGGGAGTCACGCTGGCGCCAACACCTTTACATAACTCAACAGTTGCCGGCGACACAACGCTGTAACCCTCTTCGATACTCTGCGTGTCGTTGATAGCCAAAGTGACCGCAGCGGCGTGCATGGCCACCTCCTCGTCAGATAGCCATTTCCCAAACTCGGTCGTTACTCTTTCGCCACTTCTAAAGGTTTTCACCTCTTCCTTGACTTTGTCGTTTGCCAGCAAGTTCTGCAATGTGCGACGAAGATGTTCGCATGGTTGGAAGTCTTTGGCTGATGCGTCGTAGCGCTTCCGTATCTCTTCACGGGAAAGCCTCTCGTCAAAAGTGCCGAGACGTTGGAGTTCTGGGATGCGAGCGACGGTATCAAAGAGACTCAGGTCCTCCGGGATGGGATTGTCGTCCGCAGGTGGATCCACCACACCTGCTACAACATGC